AGATATTTTGAAAACATTTATAGAAATTTAATATGATATGATTAATTGGTTATCATTTATAATTATTTGAAATCTTGAAATCGTTTTTAATTAAATTATTTATTTTTCAATTTTTGAAACATGTTAAATTAAAATTTGTTATAAAAAATTTTAATTGCAATTTTTTAAACAAACAAATAATACTTGTGTAAAAGTATATCTATTATGTATAAAATAAAATATATTTGATTTTTTATATAATATTTTATCTTATTTATTTTTTAAACTTAAAATTTAAAAGCATTTTCAGATTTTACTTTGATTTTTCTTCAATTATATGATGATATTCATATCAAAGTGAACAGTTACAATGCTTTTTCAGATAAAGCGAGATGTTCAAGAAGTGTGTTCGTTAAACTTGGCACAGATGAAATACTCGATCATGATCAATTGAATAACGTTTATAAAAGATACGTGATTTTGAAATTCAATTCATCATACTTTTTTTTTTTTTTTTTTTTTTGTTAAAAAATTATCTGCTTAAAATATCTTTAATGGTATTAAATTGAAATTTAATAATGTAATTAACTTTCTTATTTTATATTTAATGAATTATTCTGATATTATTTTTGTTCTAAAATTTGGCGGTTGAAATTTACATATATTTCAATTACTTTTAAAATAATTACTACAAAAAATATTCAAACACTAATAATTTTGATTTATGTTTTATATTTAAAATAAATGTGTATAAAGCGATAAAAATATTTTATATTATATTAAAGCACAGCATATGTATATATATATAAAAGAAATACGAAAAATAATTTTTGATTTACAATTAGAATTGAAATTTTTAGTAACTATAACTATATAGTTGCAAATACTTAAAAAAAATAAAATAAATATATAACAAAAATAAATTAAGTTTAATTTAATAAATTTTTATAATGTTTTTGTGAATTCAAAAAATTTTTCTGTCTTTCAAGTATCTTTGAGAAAAAAGAAGTTATGAAAATTGTTTTTCATCAATATCAACAACATATTCTCAAAATAAAGTAAATATTAAATTTAGAAATTAATTCGATGCCTTTATAAAATAAAGTTATTATTTATTTGAAAAAAATCACACAACTTTTATTTCTTTAAGATAAAAGATTCGCCATTATTTTCGATAACTTTGTTTCGGAAAATCATTACAGAAAAATTTCAAATCTTTTAACTGAAAAAAAATACTATTTTTAATGTGTAATTATCGATATTTCTTTATATATTTTTTAATCAATCAAATGATATTGAAATGATTTGAATATATAAAATCTAATAAAAGAGTAATCCTTGTGCTAAATGATTTCTTATTTCTCGGAGAAATAAATTATATTTTTTGTTTTTTTAAATAAGATTTGTTATATTCTGTGCGATCAATAAATTATTTTTTTTCCTTTTGAGTTCATTAATCTCTTAAGATTGATGTTGGTAATAATTTGCATTGATAATTGAGAACAAGTCGTAATGAGAACAAGATAATTCAGACAAATAAATGCAATATCCAAATATTCATGCACTTTTAGCATTTTATGCATAGAATTTATTGTTCTTCTTTTTTATCAATAAGAAGTGGAAATTGCGATAAAGAATTACAAGAATATAATAGAAATAAGAATTCAAAAATATATTCTTACTATAATTATACGTATCTCATATTAAGAATAGCATAAGATCTCATATAAGGAACATTCTAAATAGAAAAATTAAATTAATCTAAGAGTAATTTATATAAATTAATATAAATTTTTCATTTAAACGATAATAGAATGTTTCTAATAGAAAAAATTTGAAGCTAACAATGAAACTAATCAGAACTTATTGAAAGAACTTACCTTTAGTAGTTATATATATATGTGAACAAATACAGATTTTTCTCGACGAGAAAAAAAAATAGATTTTAATAGTTTGTTAATGGAACAATCATATTCAAAATTATATTCATAGTTCCAACGTTTCTTTATAAAAATATTATAGATTCTCATACCTTTACTCTATCACACTCTTCACATCTTACGAAATATTTAAATCAAAATTACAAATACCTTTAACCTAAAAAACTAAACTAAATCCTATTGAATTAAGTTGTAGATCTAACGCCTAATCAAAAAAACAAATTTTTGAATTTTACATGCTATTTCCCACTGTACCACTTTCGATTTTTAATTCGCTTATAATTCCACCGATATCTCAGTTCCGATAGATCACTCGAACCCCACTCCCACTGTACAAATAAGCCACAAAGACAAATACACCCATCCTCCAAAGCAACGGCCGTAACCAACCGCAATTGTAAAACTACACGTGACGAATGCGCGAATAGGAAACGTTGCTCGAGCGAAAATAGAACATGGACACGAACGAAGCTGTTTCCATTCGTGAGTGAAACACTGGCCAATCCGGCATCGATGCACTCGTGACTCGTTTTTCGAACTTTTTTCTCTCTCTCGTTCAATCAGTATAGTAAATAGCGAAATGAGATGCGGTTTCTTCACGAGAATCCGACGACTGACTGGAGAATTCGCAGACGTGCGCCTTTAATTTAGAGCCACGGAGCGCCCTCGAGTTTTCACACTGCATACGCTCTGCTCCTGTCCATGTGTACACGTGTCTGCGTGTATCCCGTACACAAATCTCTGGCCAAAAGTGGCTTTTCGCGTTGGATACCGTTGCTCGAGTGCTATCGACTGGATACACAATCCCGTCGTGTTAATTGGCCAAAAAGGTCGCGACTTCGCCGTTTTCAAAAAGTAGGATATTTAAATTAGCCGATCTAACCTCTCGCTCCTGCTCTTCGAAAATGGATCACTGAAAATGGAGGTCCTTTTCTTTCTATCCTCGTGTGCGTGACTTTTGACGAATAGCAGACAGCGATGTTCAAGATGTTAAGAGTCCGTGAGACGTCGCAGAGTGTTTTTATCGATTTTGAAAATTTTAATTAAAAACAGAAGTTGATTTTCTAAAGCAATAATTTATAATTTTTCTAAAGTAATTAAAATAATTAATTAATTTTTCTAAAGTAATTTTCTAAATAATTTTAATTATTGGAAATTTTTCTAATTTATGGTAATGTGAATTTTGATTTTAATAAATAATGTTTTTTGACGTATAAAGATAATTTTAATTTATTTAATATAATTATAATTATTTCTTCTTTCATCTAATTGTAAATTGTATAATCTTATATTGTGTAAAATTTGGAAAATAAAAGTTTAAAATTTATAGTATTATAATATATTTTTTTTAGGTAGTGAACTATTTTTAATCATCAATCAAAAATATTTAATATAACTTTATCGCTTGAAGATGATTCCTAAGCATATATCTGCAAGAAACGAGATCGAGTATGTAACGAATAATTGTGATGCATCTTTTGGAACAATATTATTGCGAATAGTTATGATAGTCAAAATATGAAAAACTGTATTTACGTATAATGCAGTGTTCCATAACCTATTAGCTGCATATATTTCAAAAAAGAAGATCGCGGGGTTACCGACCAAACAAGATCTGTCATCAATCATGTCCATAACCTCTAAAAGCGAAAATGAAAACTAAATTTGTTAAATATTGTAGTATTAACGTGTAAATTTTATAAACAAATTATTTTGAAATAAAATCTAAACGAGTGATTGCATTTCTAACAAAAATTTCAACGTAGCTTCGAATATAATCAGATAGCAAATAAATAGAATTATACTTATTAGAAAAGATATTGGTACAGTAAAACATTAACATGCTATGATTGCAACTAGAGGTTATCTCTCTAGAGGTTGCTTGTATATTTTATCGTTAATTCAAAGAAGCTTCTCTGGAGACGTGTCCTAAATTTGCTAGATTCTAAACTTCCTTAAGATATAAAATCGAGATCGAAATTCTTTTACATTGTATATAATTGCAATATTCTATTGCTTTTTTCGTAATGTATAAAATAAAATATCATTAATGTACAATTTTTTATAAAATACTAAAAATATTATTTAATTTCAAATAATTTTATATTCAAAAAATAATTATTTTCTTTTTACAGAAGATAATAATATTATCGATTAAAATGTACTTCATTATTTTATACACGCTTCAGTAAAAATTTACGATTATATTGTGAATTTCATTATCTAAGCAAATTAAGGTTACACGGTTTCAATCAACAGTATCGATTCTGAGATTTATAATCATTTCAGTTTTAAATTCTATGTTTTAAAATCGTATAATAAATATTTTAACTTAATACTTCAGTGTTAAGTCTTTTAATACTTGTATATATTTAACTATGTATATAATTTAATCATAAAATTACCTATTTGAAAATTACCTATTTGAAAATCTTTAATTATTTTTTTCTTATTTATTTTATTTTATATGATTATTGATATAAAAAAATATTATAATAAAACAAAAATTTATTTTTAAAATATAATATGCAATAAAAAAATTAATATGAGTAATTGCAGAATCTTACAAGTAAATTACTTTTAAATTTAATTTTAAATTTAATTTTACTATAAATTTATAATATTACTTTTAAATATTTCAAAGTATTTAAATACTTATAAACAGCAGTGTATATTATATAAAATTAAATACGTATAGAGAATTAATTCTAGAGGACAATATAAATATATAAAAGTTGGTATAGAAAAATATAAAGTTAAGATGCTTATTTGCTAAGCAATTAAAAATTGTGTTTAATATTACAAATAATTAATATTTAACCTTTTTTACTAATTTTTATTTTTTGATCTCTTCTGTTCCTTTAAATCCTTTATCCTTCGAATATAACACCTTTATATATTTCCTTTCCAATTGAATCAACAATATTCTTTCCAAAATTTTTAAATTTTAAAATTGGACCAATTATTATTTTTCCAATACAATGAAATCCTATCTCAATTTCATCGCAAATAAAAGTTTCGTCTATTTTAGAAATTGATAAACAATTTTTTCAATCAAAATTTTTTTTTTAAATTACTCACCCATGTCGTCGATGATTGGCGCCATTCTGAGGGTAACCCCGACCAAGAGCAAAGACATGGTGAGAAGGAGGCAAGCTGTGGCCACGATCGTCCAACGCGCCCGTGGTGGAAGTTCTTCAGGATCGACGAGCTCTTCTTGAGGACCGGTATTGTTAATTTTGCGCCGTTTCCGCTTCCTCTTTCTACGTGGCCGGTGATACTTCTCCCGAGGTGCCTCGATCTTCTCAGTACCGCTCAAGATCTCCTCTTCTTCCAGCTCATCCGCTATGTTCAACGCCACGTAATCGTCGTCGTCATAGTGGATTTTTCTGCAAAATATGAAATTTTTTGTTTTCTCGTTATTTTTGTTAAACATTTGATTTTAAAATGATTTTAAAATTTTGAAACTAGTAATGAATGATGTCGCAATAGAATTACAGTTTAAAGTGTAGTTAGAAAAACAAATATAATAAAAAAAATTTTGTTAATGAATATTTGTATGATACAAACGAGGCCATAATATAATAGTATAGTAATTTTTTGATAAGTGCAGCATATTAAATGATGTATTATTTCATTTTTCGTTTATCATAAAGTCAGGTTATGTTTTATGAAAAGACTTTTTGTAAGGAATACAATAGTTGATTATTTATTTTGTAGTATAATGATAAACTTAAAATTGCTTTCAGTTATTTGATTGCTTAAAAGTATTGAATTTATTTGTAGATTAAAATCTTTTCATTTTTTTATTCAACAGATAGAGAAATGTCTTATTTCTTAAGCTTTTTGACAAAAAAGCAAATTGACAAAATACATAAAAAAAATTAACATCAAATTGCAACATTATTTTTAAAAAAATATTTGTAATTATATAAATGAAAATAAAGTTATAATTTATTTACAAAAATTGATTATCTTTAATTTAGTAGTGTTGCAATTTTTCATATAAAAAACTAAATATTATACTTTATTTCAAATAAAAAGTATTGAATTAAATAATTGTTAAAATAATTTTATTAACGCTATAAAATGTAATAATGAAAAGATGAAAAATTTTGAGATTTGTGATCCACAGATTGAGAATCGCTGTTCTAGTCTATCCAACTCAAAGATTAAAGTAAAGGAAAAGCAAAGCAATTTCCCTTGGATAACTTTCGCTCACATAATCGTGAAAAGATACAACTTGTGATCGTGTTCTCTATTATCCAGTGCAATATCTTACGATATTGAATACTGTATTGTAGTAAAGATATAAAAAGATCCGTAAATTATAGACAATTGCAGGAGTACTAGATTAAATTTAAGTGGTTCAAGAAATAAATATAAAAAAACAATAAAATTTCATCTTTTTTAAAATCGAGAATAATTATAAAAAATAACGAACAAAAATTTACATTTATCCAATCGATTTTTTTTTAAACTTTCATAATAATACGAATATATGCAAATACACGGATTTTACCATTCAAGTTCATTTTTATCCTTAATTTTCTGGAATTAAAAAAAAAAATTTAATATTTTTCCTTCGAGAGTTTGATCAAAGTTAATCTTTCAAATCAACGCAATTTTATTTTCTTTTTTTTAATTTTTCTCGTATATAATCACTTCTTTTCAGGATCGAGAGACATTCTGTATAAAGTTCCCAAAACCACAAAATTGAAATTAATATTTAATAGTTTCCAAGATCTACGCCGAAAATACAAGAGTGAAACTTTATAACATTGAAGTTTCGTTCAACCGTTAAATATTTCAATACACTTTTGCAATCTATGTCTTGGAAGAACCCACTATTAGCATAAAGTAAAATACTGTATTATACTTTGCAAACTAAATCGATACTTATAGTTGCTCGACTAATAAATTAGAATCGACATTTGATGTGTCAGAATCCATTATCGAAAAGAATTTTATTTAAAGAAAAATTACATTTATAATATATATGATATATTGAAATAATAAATTTATATATATGATTATATTGAAATAATAAATTTTATAAAATTTCTCTAAAATTTAGAGATGGCTAATCAAAATTTTAAGTACGAATTTTAATTTTTAATAAAATTATTGTATTATTATTGTCGAAAGCAATCTTATTGATAGTAAAATTCTAACGTGTAATTATCAAATTAATATAAATAATAATTTCAATCAAAACTTTAATTCGGTTGATATGTATTTAATTCAAATAGTTCAACGAAATTTAATATACAATTTAATACACGATATTTAAAATTTTAATAGGAAATCCCGATTTTAATCACGTGACAGATCGATTTCCTCGAGAAAGAGTATTTATATCGTTTACATATTCTTCAAAGCATTTTTTTTTTCATGAAATATTTATTAAATTTCGCAAGGAAAATATTCAATGTGTCTCTGGGATACGTGGAACTATATTGTATATTTTTACATTTATTACGTTTTATTTTTTAATTAAAATATCCTTTATACAATACAGATTTGAGACATTTTAAAATTTTACTTTATTCAGCCGAAATAATAAATGAAAAAATAAAAAATATAATATATATCGATTTATATGTTTCATTGAATTAATAAATAATAAAGTTTTTTCTAAGATTAATAATATTAACAAAGTTATATATAAATAAAATACGATGTAAAAAGACAAATATTTCAAATCAAAAGTGTACTAAAAAAAAAATTTATATATATAAGATACAAAAGAAAAGAAGATTTCTAAATAAAATTATATATTAATCTTCGAAAATGTTTCTGAATTATGTTTGTTACAAAAATGATGAAATCTTTTAAAATTAATATATTAAAATAAAATTGAATTTTACATTATATAAAAATATATATATATATTGCTATTTTACTTGATTAAAACTTCTTATTATATATCTAATTATAATAATTCTTATTATATATCTAATTATAATAAATTTTATATTTTCTATTTAAATATAAAAATATATTGCAACTGTTATAAAGAACAAAATATTTTGCAAATTCTGTTGTTGAAATTTGACAATTCGATAATTGCGAAAATAAAAAAATAAAATAATAAAAATAAATTTGCAATTTTTACAAAAATAATAAGTTTGAGCTAAAACTTGCAAGTGATCAAGAAATATAATTATTGCTGTATACCTTAATTTTATCATTGAAATTCTCGTTCAATCGTTGTACAAAGCTTTTAATTCATCTCACATTTTCGTGTATTTATAATGTTTGTTTTAAATAAATTTGGGACACGATAAAATGCTTATATTTAAATTAATCAAATATCAATTTTTTACCGATATCACTGATATCAATTTTTGATGAATTAATTTCACTAATGGCAACGTATTTTCTTCGTTAAGAAATCACGAAATTAATGAACGCGTTATATTTACCGCGGCATCGTTTCTGATCCTTTAGCGGGTTAATCCATAATTAAAGACGTTTCAACTTTCGTACAAGTGGCTCGATCCAGAAATGTGTCGGACAAAGCCACCTGATAAAACATCTGACGTATTCGTAATATAGGTCATGCCATATTTTTCAAATATTACTTTTTAAACTGAGATTAAATGAAGAAAAGTGTGTATATATATATATATATATATACATATATATATATCCTGTGTATAATCACGTTGCACGTGTACATATTTCAATATGTCTCGTAAACTTGAACAAGAGAAACCGATATCTATCTATAGGTTATCTTATAGACTGATAATGATAAAATAAAAATGTAAAAAAAAAAAAACGTTAACTCGTAAAGTTACGAGTTTAAAAAAAGAAGAACTTGAAAATTAATAATACACATTTATCTAATCTTCGCAAATTAAATGAAATTATTAGTGATATATACTTTTATAATAAATAAAATTTAAATAAATATATATATAGCGTGAGAAAATTTGCGATTATTTAACGAAAATAAAGATTAATAAGGTGGATAGAAATGAAATTGGAAGGAAAATCAAGAAATCTTGGAAGAGAATAAGATCGTAATTGGAAGAATCATGATAAAAATATGGATAGAGGTGCTTCAGCGTGCAGCAGCTTGTAAGAGAGAGGAGCGAGGGGACCACATCATTACGTCGAACAAAAGGAGGGCTATTGTCGATCTTATGCCAACTGTACGCTGTATAAACATATTATATATTGCTTTGGCTCATAGAAACGTGTTGTTTCTGTTGTCTTTTAAATCTAGTAGAGCTATAAGTAGTATGGTCCAATGATAAGTCAGATTTTGGTACAATACTAACTGATGATATGAAACTGATAATGTAAAGAGAAATTAAAAATTCTAATGTTTCTTTCAGTTTCGTTAATTTCAAATTCAATATATAATATAAAAAATATATATATAAATAATTTATATTACAATATATATAGAAAATTTATATTAATAAATAAAAAAGTTAGAGGATTCTTCAAATTCATTATAGGATAAAGGAAGAATTTGTTTATGAAATAATTAAAAATTAAATAATTTTTAAATATGAATTTAAAATAATATATAGTTATTAGTATTAATATTAATTACAAAATGAAAATTTTTTCTTAGAATGATCTCGTGTTTGGATAATCGATATTCTATTGCATAAGGAAACGTTCGAGGCTTCAAAAGTATGAAATATTTATTGAAAAAAATTTGTTGAAAAAAAAATATTTAATCAATATGTAAATTTACGAATCAATATTTTCTACACAAAATTCGATCATAACTATTTATCCGTATGAACATAACATAATTTGAAAAATAGAATAAAAATAATTGAAGACTCGATACAAAACAAATTTTAATCATTAAATAAAAAATCATAGTTTTACATCGATATTTCTTCACAAACTCATTTAAATTTTTCACATGCATAAAATGTATGAATATCAAATTTTACAGTTTTTTTTACGATTTTCCATTTCCAATAAAATATATCCTCGCTTTAATATAAAAATTAATTAAAATTAAAATTATAACTATAAAAATTACTATAAAAATTAAATTAAAAACAACGTGAAGTTTATTTCTGTGCGTATAAAAGTCGTGCACTCCTGAATAACGTTTAAAATGAAAAAGAGAAAAAAAAAAAGAAAGAAAAAACTCGATCGTCGAAGCGGATTGATGAAAAAGTAAATGCCTTCTGGCAAAATAACGTCTCTCCTCTTGATCTTTTCCACGTAACAACCGTCACCGACAATCTGAGTTTCATTACACGGTCGAATACGCTTTGTTCGCCTGGCGATCCTCCTATAAAATGGTATTGGATGGAACATCTAACGAAGAGACCAACGATGTGCAACTACGCACCGACGATGACCCAGTTCTGCAGTATATTGCACTTAAATCGAGTTCCTCCCCTCTCTCTCTTTCTCTCTTTCTCTTTTCTTCGCAAACACGCCTACGAATGTCTCCTCGTCTCATCCTTTGAAATTGCAATGTTGCAAAGGGGTATTTGTACCAGACGGAAATAAACAAGGTACAGTGTGAAAGTTGAAGCAATATTTCCAGAGTTTTTAATGTTTGAGCTCGAAGAAAAATGTTTGATTATTTGTAAAATATTTTGGATTACGATTTTTATTATTTCTTTGTTATGTTCGTGAAATTTTTTAATAGTTAATGATAAATTGGTGGTATTTATATTGAAAGTTACTAGTAAAATTTTTCTTATTAAATGTTTTGAAATTTTGTTATTGAATTATTGTTTCTTTTGTTTTTCTGTTGTCATTTCCTTGACGCTGAAATTTGTAATTTTTCAAATTTTTATTTTCAATTCAAAGTTAGTTCAATAAATTATTTTTCTACATATTTGTGAGTTTCAATATCTTTATCATCTCTAAATTTTGTGACATGTCTAAAATTGCGAATTCCCGAGTCAAAATTACGAAAATTATTTCACTAAATACTTCGAAATAGTTTTAATTTCAAATTATAAATTTTACCACTGCCTATTTCGCTTTATTTTCTCTCTAAATTACAACATTGAAATGTCGAAATTGCAATTTAATGATAATTTCATAATCAAACTTTTCAATTCGAAATCGTGAAAATCATTTTACTATTTCGAATATTAAAAAAGTTTTTTTTTTAATTAATTGTAATCTTAAACGATCATTAATACAATAACATAATAATAATAATAATAATAACAACAAATTCTTTTTCTACATATTGTAAAATTTTAACGTGAAATTTTTTCTTTCTTATTGCCAAATGCATTTCTGATGAATTAACGTAAAAAACGTTAAAAAATTTTAATTCTTCGTGATCGATTTTGCATTTGAAAAAAAAATGATTAAATATATCGAATGACGTATTAACATTTTCAATCGTGACGATCAAACATTTAATAAATACATCAACGTTAATTAATAAGTATCATGATATAATTGAATATTTACATTAATAATCAAATTCATTTGTTTCAGAGATACAAAGTGATTGTTATCAAGGAATAAACATAATTACATGCTACGTAATAAATAAATACAATAATTTAGAAAATTAGATATTTTTGCATCCATAAGGATCGATGAGAAAAATAAGAAAAATAATTAAATGATAAAAAATAAACATCAAATATATTAAAAAGAAAAATCACTTTGTAGAATTAATTGATTTAAAATTTATGATTTTTGTTCAAAATCTCCACATAAATCGACATACTAACCTAAAAACAAAAATATCGTTGCACAGGTTTAAAATTCTTAAACTTTAATCATTTTATCATCGTAAAAGATGATACGATAGAACTTTCTTGATTGATATAAATGATTCATGATATGAATGATCTAACACTATGATCTAATGATCTAATATCATTATAAATAATACGAAATAATACTACGACTAGACTTACAATTGAGCAGTATTTTGGGGAAAATATGAGGCACTTCGGTGCAACTGTGGATATTCACAGGAATCGCTGAGAGTTTCTCGAGTCCTTTCAAAGTTTATCAATGCGAGATCTTGATCACCATCCATCCCAAAAAGTTCTAAACGTGAATCAAGACCGGTTGGGACGTCTTGGATTACACCGTGAAGGATGTGCGGACTTTTCGAGTGTTTGCGCTTTTTTTTTGGACGTCGTGGACTTTCTGACGCCCTCCGCCGTGTTTTACCTGCAACAATGCAACATTTATTTCCATTTATCATATGAATATGCAATTATGACAATGCGTTTCGAGTCGTTGAAAGTCATATTCTTTGAAAAACATTTCAGAATAATGGTTTAAATTTCCAGTTGACAGATCAATACCGAGTCAACACTGAATTATGAAAGTAAATATTGATCGAGACGCGGGAATCTTTGAACTGTGCAAGTGATTTTCAAAGAATTTGTGTACCGATTGGTTTCTGAAACCTTTCGATTTATGCATATACTTATGAAAATATTCAAGCATATTAATTTTTTTTATTCAGTAGAATCTCGATTATTGGAATTTCTATTAATGGAACAATCAATTATCATGTTTCGAAGGTTTTTTTAATTTTTTAATGGAAAAATAGAGTTATTTATTCTGAATAACTGTGATATTTTCAATGATGAAATTTTTATATCGAAATTTTATACATTTTAATAAAATCATTTGCAATTGATAATTTATAAAATATAAAAATTTTATAAAATATTTTTGACTTAAAATAATAATCGTGTGAAATATAGCAATTACAAGTGATATTTATTTAATATAATTATGATTCCATCTGTATCGATCACATTATGGATGTCTTTCATCAATAACATACATATTTTTTTATTTGAAAAAAGATTTATATCAATAAAACAATTGTAAGTGAAAATGTTATAGGTGAAAAGATATTTATAAAATAGAAATTATGTTATTTATTATAAATTATTTATTATAAATTATTTATTATAAATTATTTAAATTTTTAGGGTAAATTTTATGAAAGAATGTTATCATTGTATTTATCGATTTACGCTTTATGCAAATTATTCTTTGACGTAAGCTAACTCTACGTCAAAATATAAATTATATCGGCGCACTTTACATAGAATAAAATTTATTTTTACAATAAGTTAAATTTAGACACAGAGGCATTAAAAATGAATATAATGTATGTATTTAGAAATTTGGAAATTTGATGATATTCGAGATGTTCAAATTTCAAATAACATATCATGTTTTTATTATCTATATATATATATAGATAATATGCTTCATAAGAATGGTATGACTGTTGTATAAAAGATATTTATCATACGATGTATAATCGTTACAGCATAATTTTAGAGTAATTTTTCTATGAATTGATTACTCAATTTTATGTAACTTCTCATCTAATGGTATAATGAATTTTATAAAGTACTGCAAAAAAAGTTGATATTATGGTTGATATATTATGGTATTATATGATATATTATGGTATATTTAATCTATTTTGAATAGAATGTAATTTAACAGTCAAATTATTAATCAATAATATGTATTTCCATATATATTACACATGAATTATTAGGATTGAAACCTAGTATCATGAAAATTATTATATATAAATTATATATAATTATACTTCTATTTAATAATATTATTATTAATTTTGTCAAAAGTTTTGTACAATTTTAGAAATTGTGAAAATATCTGAAATCAACCAATTTGAATAGCTCAATAATATATATAATGTATAATATATCATATCATAAAATTTTCACTCTTATGAATTTGAAAATAATTTTATTTATTTATAATTATTTATATATCATGAAAAAAATTTTTTTCTTTAAAAAAACCTGTATTGAAAATTTCGATTTCAATTGTATTTGCGTGTGCATATGTTTAAATTGTATAGTTTTGTATAGTTTTTTACAACAAGTGTATAACATTATAAAATAAATTCACAATTACTATGTCTCATCAGTTTTAGAGTAATTTTTCTATGAATTGATTACTCAATTTTATGTAACTTTTCATCTAATGGCATAATGAATTTTATAAAATACTGCAAAAAAAGTTGATATTATGGTACATTTGATCTATTTTGAATATATAGAATGTAATTTAACAGTCAAATTATCAATCAATAATATGTATTTCCATATATATTATATATCCATATTGTATATCCATATATATATTACACATGAATTATTAGGATTGAAACCTAGTATTATGAAAATTATTATATATAAATTATATATAATTATACTTCTATTTAATAATATTATTATTAATTTTGTCAAAAGTTTTGCACAATTTTAGAAATTGTGAAGATATCTGAAATCAATCAATTTGAATAGCTTGATTAAATTATAATATACATAATGTATAAATATAATTCATAAAATTTTCACTCTTATGAATTTGAAAATAATTTTATTTATTTATAATTATTTATATATTATGAAAAAAATTTTTTTCTTTAAAAAAACCTGTATTGAAAATTTCGATTTCAATTGTATTTGCGTGTGCATATGTTTAAATTGTATAATTTTTTGCAACGAGTGTATAACATCATAAAATAAATTCACAATTACTATGTTTCATCACGTTGCACATTTACGAATAAACAATGGCATGCTTAATCGTGCATTCTCTGTATGCAACATGAATAGAACATTGATTAATGATCCATATATCTACAGTTGACAAAATGAATATTTAATTCTATTGCTCGCAAAGTTTCATTAAACACAATTTCCAATGACGATAATAATAACACAACATAAACTGTTTGAACTCTTGCAAAATGTATATAATAAAATATCAAGTTTTTTCGTGATCTTGGACTGTACTTCATCCAAAATGAATTCATTTTCGATACATTCTCATCACGAGAGAGAGAGAGAGAGTAGTAATCGGTCGATAATAATTTCACGAAGATCTAATGGAAAGCATGAATATTTGAATTTCTGTTGGAAAATGATTTTCATCAGATGCCCTTAATAACCTTTTTCGTTTGTGGTCGTGCGTGGGTCGATCTTGGGTCATTAGTCCTCTTTCTCATCCATTTTTCATTTTCGCTCGTTTTCATCCCACAAAATCTCGTAAAGAAATTGTATCTCTGTCAAGGAATTGTCGCCATCTTGACAACATCCATACTAATGCTATTTTTACGAATTCATTTTTGTTCATTCCATTTTCTTTTTTTTTTTTTTTTTTTTTTTTATAGGAATAAAATATAAAAAATTATATTAGATTGTTTCAAAAATTATATAGAGATTTGTTTTTATAAAATCTTCATGATTTTAGTTATAGTGATCAATTTTTTTAGATATTTTATTATTTATACAAAGTATCCTGTGATTTAAATATGACTTTGACTTAGATTTTTTCTAGAAAATTATCAAGTTAACAGTTAGTATTATCATTATAAGAGATAATTTATAATAATGGAATCAACTTGTTAATTTTCTAATATTATTAATTAATAAATAGAAAAAATTTGTGATTAATAAAATTGTGAATAATTGATAAATTAATAATTTTTAGATACATTTCTCAAAATATAAATATTTTCAATTATTTAACTTTAAATATAAATACTTGTGCGCGAATAATCGGTCATTGAATGATCGAAATTCTGATAATTGGTTATTATATTATTATATGAAAATTTTTTAATTAATAGAATAATATTAAAAATATATTTGAATATAAATAAAATTTAAATAAATTATCATTGTCAAATTTGATGATTTTATGTATTTATTAAAAAAATATAAATATAATCTTGATATTGATCATGAGCCAATTCTAATATTTACTTATACTACTTATACTTATACTACTGAATAGACTTCTTACTTTGATTCCTTTTTATTTTGAATCGTCCTTTGATACTTTTGAGTATCTCTTCGGAGAATCTAATTTTTTCCAATACACCCCGTGTTCTGCAATACTGATTTAAGTGTCATTAAATTGACAGTAAATGAAAACCAATAAATTTCAAAAGGTAATATATTCTTAATACGAAGCGTTAAATTAATACGAGATCGAAAAAATAAAAAAAGTGTCATCCACTTCAATTTCGAATAATTTCTATCTGCTCCACATATTGATTCGCTCATCGATGCAGTCCACCAAGAGAACTAAATCCAATTAAATGATTTAATATTCAATAATCGTGGAATTAATTAATGCAAATTTTTTTGCATGCATTCATTATATTTCCTGCTTTCTATTCTATTTCCTGTATTGTTCGTTCGTTGCATTTTTTCATTTAAGTGTAAAACAAAATCAATGCAATTTTTGACAAAAATTATAATTATTGTCTGCTGTTGAACGTTTCAGAATTATGGGACAACTGGGGAGAAAATTCAAGAATTGTGAAAGATTTTCTTCAAGAAAAATCTTTAAGAGGCAATTTAACCTTCAAACAAACACTCCCTCTTATGGGTATTGTGTTGTTTCAAAGGGATAAAGAGAATTCAGACAAAGCACAAGTCAAACACTATCATCAGACCATTAAAGTCTGCTGTGGAAACTTTCTGTTTTAAAGAGCACACCTTGGATATTGTTGCAACCTTCTCAAAGTGATCCCCTTTAACATTAATTTGTCAAAGATGCGTAGAATAACTCATACAAGTATTAGCAAACATATAATAATTAATCTTTTATATGAAACTTTAAGAAATATAATATAATGCATAAATTATATTTCTGTTTTTAATATGATCATATTTCGTATAAAAAAATCATTGTAATATAATATATTATACAGTATTTAGAGTTTAATTTTAATATGCTTCAAAAAATTAATCTTTCAAATAAGATTTTATTATTGAAAAAAAAATCTTTGAATTTTAATTAAACTTATTAAACAATAAAATAAAAATTTTAAATTGAAATTTTAGAAAAACAATTGTTAAGTTAATTTCCATCCTTCAACTTTTAAGTAAAATTAGAAAATTTTTCTAAGAATCAGATTTAATTTACTTTCTCTAACAAAAAATACCTTCTACAATAAAAATGAGAAAAATTTTTATATGTTTTTAAATACTACATATGACATTGTAACTATAAAAAAATCTCAGTTATATAGACCCTTTAACTAGAAGATAAAAGTGTTCATAATAGAATAAATTGGATTTAGATTTGGAAAGGATTTAAAATACTTAAGAAAATTAAATATAAAATAAATATAATTTCTTTATATTATACATATATAACTTTATATATAACACAAAAAATCAAAAAGAAATCTATGGATCCTAATTCTCCTAATTTTCCTAATAATAAGCAATAAAATAAAAATTTTAGATAAAAATAATTGTTAAATTAATTTCCATTCTTCAACTTTTAAGTAAAATTAGAAAGTTTTTTTAAGAATCAAATTTAATTTACCTTTTCTAATAAAAAATATAATAAAAATGATAAAAATTTTTATATGTTTTTAAATACTATATATGACATTTTAACTATAATAAAATCTCAATTGTACAAATTAATTAGAAGATAAAAGTGTTCATATAATAGAATAACAGATTTAAAATACTTAAGAAAATTAAATATAAAATAAGTATAATCTTCATATTATATATAACTTCATATATAAGACAAAAAATCAAAAAGAAATCTATGGATTCTAATTCCTCTTGATAGCTAATAATAAATCACTACATTTTTTTTTCAGTCATCAATACTACTTGACAATATATCTTATCAATTTCACACCAAACATACACCTGTCTTGTACCAGAAGAATTCTGGTGCAAACTGATTCCAAATTTAAATTCTCTCGTAAGAAAAGAAATACAATCAATCAAGTCTTAACCATAACAATCCAACTCACCATGATGCTCATTGTGCCGATGATCGGTGGCGTCATCGATGAAGTCGTTGCACGGCGCCGAGTCGTGCCTCCTACGATGATGGTGGTGATGATGGTGATGGTGATGATGATGATGATGACTCTTCCTTCGATGTTGGTGATTAAGGGAGGAGGAGGCGGTCGATGTCGAGGTGAGTCTGAGCCGGCGAGGGCTGGCCGGCGCGCTACCAGAACGCTTGCCCAAAGCCGAGGATGCTTTGATCGCCTCCACCTTCGTCTCCACCAGGGCGGCGAGGACGGCTTCGAGACGTGCCACCTCCATACCACTTCCACCATCGTCCGTGGACACTGCCTTGTCAGCGACATCGGAGGTGGACGGAGTCACCGTCATCATCTCTTCACCTATCTGGGTCACATTACGTTCACCGGCCTCGATTGTGACCACTTTGTAGTAGGAACCGTCGCGGGACTTCTCCAAGGCCCGCTGACCGAACGGTCACAAAACCGGCACACCAGAATCCTCCCCCTTCTTCTTCTTCTTCTTTCCTCTTTCTTCCACGGCACTATCCACTGAAAGATCTCGAATGAATCGGGACAACATGTAGCCGACTATCTTCTCTCTTCTTTCATCTTGTGGACAGCGTTCGAGATCTCTAATCAAGAAGAATAGATTTCTCTACTTTACCGATTGCTTCACGACGACCGATCGAGGACCGTTTCGAAAAAAATGATTATTATTATATCCGCTTTCATCCCTTCGAAAAGTTTCTCAACAAATTTTTCTCAACAATTCGAAGTTTTATTTGCTGATGATCGATGTTGGTTAAATAACAAGAGGATCGTTCTGTGCCTCGATCAATGGGGTTCAATGGGAGAAGTTAATTAGACCATTAATGACTCGAGTGCTTCCATTAAGATGAACGACATTCGAGCGAGCCTTTCGAAGTATAAGTAAAGATAATTTCTTCCTTCTTAGACGAAAAGATTCTTCTATCTTTATTTTAGATCCTTTGCCTTCGAGGCATCTAATTGAGAACAATATTTCTTTTTTTGATGTTGTTCTCGTAACAACAACAAATGTTTCGTATGAATTAATTTATTTTTTCAGAATTCAAATTATCTCTATCCGTTATTCCGTTTTTCCTTTTCTCGTGTCTCGAATTACCAGAAATTTGAGGGCAACTCAATGTAACGCCTCGAACTTAATCCCCGTTTAAGCACGAATAAAGAACGTGCTCGACGGCCCCTGAATAAGAGCTTTCTGCCGCGACCGCCTCAAAAAACTTTCCACCTTAACCGATCAACGATCCACTGCACGTGCACATTATCTGATGACAGTTATCAAAAAGACAACGTACGACGAATCGGCGAGTTCATGCTTGGTTACACACCAATATTTAAGTGGATTTCGATTTGTCTCCATCGTAACTCGACACTTTTCCACTCTTACGTCATTGAGTTCTTCTTTTTTTGTCACTCGACCCATTCGCTCGTTCACCCGTCGCTTCCAACCGATTGGCCGGAATTAGTAACACTCCAGACACTCTGGTCGATCGATCATTCGATATTTCGTTCCACTCAAACGAGATCGGAATTAGTACCGTTGCAATCGGTTTCCCAAGTGTTTGACTAGATTGCTAGAATTGCCGAGCGATTTGAGACTTCGAGAGATCGAGAGAAGATCAGTCGAAGAGATCGAACTACGAAATGTTGATCGTGATGACGTTCTCACGAAATGATGAAAGAAAGGACCCGGCAGAAATAGCGGAGTAACTCGTTCTCGCGTGGCCAACTTCCCTCGACCCTTCCTGTCTTCTCGCGTATCTAATGACCTCGTTCCTTTGTAGAGCTTGAAACGTAGCTTGGTCGAAACACGTAGCCATGTTAGGCAGCGTTCGTTGTGGAACACCAATGGTCATGTGTTCGTGTCAAGTATGTTGTCGAAACTGAGATAGAGAGAGAGAAAGAAAAAAAGAGAGAGAAAGAGAGAAGAAAAGAGAGAAAGAAAGAAGGAAGTCAGAGGAAACTACCTACTCTAAATTATCACCGAGTATCCACCGAGATGAAGATTCGACAATTCACGTTCACTCGTGTTATTCTCATCTCTCGAACCTCGTTCACTTGATCGATCACGAGGATAGAGAAATTTAATCAAAGTCGACACATTTTTCTGTTAATTTCTCTTTTTAGGGTCAACGATAGTTGAAGCACCCAGTCACTTTCCATATATATATATATATACATCGATCAAGTTCGTTAATTCGCGTGCAAAACTTTTAAGTACCACGTTCGATTCTCGTGTACACATGTGTAAAAGTTGAAAAGTAATTTCTTCGTCAGCTGAGTTGGATCAACTCGATCCTATGCATTCTTATCGGGTGATTGATCGCCTCTATCGAGAACACGTAATCCCATTTGCAAATTTTTCCACTAAAATTTTTTATCGCGTGACGATCGACATGGAGAAACTTGCGAGCTCGTTGCTCGTTAACAGTGTCCTTAACAAGTCCCCAGTGGCGATAAACGAAAGAGGAGGGACGTTGATGGGCAATCGAAACGAGCAACCCGTTGCCTGCGAGGCTCGAGCGCAAGAGTGCTCCTCGTTTGACCTATTAAACTCGGTAAACATTGATGCGGCTCTCGTACAAAACGACCCACGAAATCCCGAATTTACACCGTGTCCATTAATCACGTTTCGAGTATCGAAACACGCGGGTCCGAAGCGCACGAGGGATCATCCATCTTCGTTCCCAAAATTTCGCGTCCGACATCCAACGTCCGTTTCGAAACTTTCACCAAGAGACAAGAGGCAAGAACGAGAAACGTGTGAAGCTCTAAACTATCGCTCGAATCTCGTCGAGGGGCGTCGTGACACGGTCAAGTCGAGAAGCTGCGAAATCCGCAGCGATCATCGAGATACGCACGGGTTGCGTCGTTCAGGGGCACTCGTGGGATACCAGCGCGGTGATTCCCGGCGGATCCATAGCTGGGGAGCAACGGTGGCGTGACGAACGTATTGTTGGTGCGGTTGCTCGTGCACAGGCGGCAGGTGAAGATTCCTTTCCTTTTTTCTTTTTTTTTTTTCCTTTTCTTTCTCTTTACGAGTATCGCGACGGACACGTCACCTCGAGCACGTTGCCACTACGTTGGCTGGCACGTAATTCGGTAGTACGATGCGTGTCGGCGCGATGGCGCGGTCTACGCACATCCCAGCAGGGGAACTGCGTGCGCGAGTAGTAGCGATCGCTTGAATACTGGGAAGCGTGGTGGAGCAGACAGGGTTGGTAGGCAGGTGGCCGGTCTGGCAGGGATGCGTTCAGCCCTACCCCTTCCTAATGCCACTTCCACCACCAGAT